AAGAGTAATAGAGAGTGGGCTTTTCATTTAACTGAGAATATTTGGTGTGTATAGGGTAGGATCGACTTTGTTTTAACCTAATAATTAAGTGTATTGGTCGCTCTTTAGTCGCAAACTAGTGACAAACCAAAAAAAAAGGGGGGAATCGAAACCGCCCAAGCACTTAGCCAAAATCATAGAAATTTCACAAACCGTAGCTAAATGGTCGCTATATTGGTCGGTAAATAGTCAGAAGATACGTCCCAAAACAGTCGCTAAATGGACAGGGGTCCCAAACTAGTCCCAATTTAGCGACTCATTTGTGACTGTTTTATATTAGTCACAAGACAAAATTTAGAAATCTTCACATTGTGATCAAAAATGGTGATATATATATATCACCCACAAACACTCATATTAGTGGTATAGAGGATATAAAAGTGTTTTAGGTAGAAAAACTTTGCTAAACTCAAGTAATATAGATATTTTACTAAATCCCTAAACATTAATCATATGAGTAATGTAAAAGTATAAATAGATTTGGTACTTGTGAATGTTTTGTTAGTAAACATCAAAATTTATGATCTTGGTTGAGTTCTTATTACTAAGTTCGACCAAACACTTAGCAAAAATTTTAGAAATTTCACAATTAGTATCAAAATAGTCGCAACATTGGTCGGCAAATAGTTACAATATTTGTCGCAAAATAGTCGCTAAATGAACAATAGTTACAAAATGGTGGCACTTTTGCGACTGTTTTGTGACTGTTATCTATTAGTCACAAGACAAAATTTAGAAATCTACACATTGTGATCCAAAAGGGTGATATATATCACTCACAAACACTCATATTAGTGTTATAGAGGACATATATTAGTTTAAGGTTGAAAAACTTTGCAAAACCCAAGTAATATAGATATTTTACTAAATCTCTAAACATTACTCATAAGAGTAATGTAACAAGACAAAGAGATTTGGTAGTTTTGAATGTTTTGTTTGTAAACATCAATATATATGACTTTGGTTTTGTTTTTATTACTAAGTAACATCAAATTAATTGTTTAACTTTATATGTAAACAAATTTAAAATGTGAAATTTGTAAAACCAAAAATCGATAGTTGGTAAATAGTCGCAAGCCGGTCGCTTTCTCAGGTGTCAGTCGCAAAATCTTCAGGTGCTAGTCGCAAACCGGTCGCTTTCTCTGCATTTCAACGTGTTTTGAGCCAACTCTTTCCAACTAATTTGCAACTAAAGTGTAACTATAACAGGTGGTTGTTAACTAGTCGCTCTTTTGAGACTCAATTGCGACGATCATTTGAGACCAAAAGTTGAGTCGCACATCAGTCGCATATCATCCACCCATTTGCGACTATAATAAATTAGTATGTAATCGGTTTTAAAATTGTCGCAAATTAACGACTAAGTAAAGACTATTTGTTTTAGTCGCAGAATAGCGACTATATTCCATCTGTAAATATTGTGGTCGCTAAATGGTCGTTCAGAAGTCACAAAATAGTCGCAAACATTTGCGACGCGCGTACGTACTTGTTTGAATGTGTCGACTTATTGATCGTAACCATACGCATGCTTTACTCGCTTCATGGAGTGCCATGATTTCATCATGATTTGAAGAAGAATCCACAAGCGTCTGCTTCCGAGAACACCATGATATAGCGGTACCTCCAATCGTGACCACATCACTTGTTTGTGATCGAGCTTTGTGTTGGTCTGATAAATATTCTGCATCTGCAAAACCAATCATTGACCATTTATATTTTTAAGATAAATTAACCCTAAATCAATAGTCCCTTGAAGATAACGCAAGAAATGTTTAATCCCATTCCATTGTCTTCGTATAGAAGACGAACTAAATCTACCCAAAAGATTAACAGAAAATGAAATATCAGGTCGAGTGCAATTTGCAAGATACATAAAGGCTCTAATTTCACTTAGATACGGTACTTCATTGCACAACCTAGTATTCAGAGGACCAAGTATCTCCTCATTATTCTCAAGTGGTCGGAATGGATCACTTTCAACATTAAGGTATCTAACGACCATTGGAGTACTCAGAAGACTTGCCTTATCCATATTAAAGCGTTTTAACACTCTTTTAGTGTATGTGGATTGATGTACAATTATACCTTTTTGAATATGTTCAATTTGTAGGCCAAGACAAAACTTTATCTGTCCGAGATATTTCATCTCAAATTCCCCTTTTAAATAGTTTGTTGCTTTATGTATTTATGCTCGAGTCCCGATATTGTTTAGATCATCAACATATACCGCGATTATCACAAATCCGGAAATCGTTTTCGTTATGAAAAGACATGGGCATATAGGATCATTCACATATCCTTCTTTTGTTAAATGCTCACTGAGACGATTATACCACATTCGTCCAGATTGTTTTAATCCGTATTGATCTTTGCAACATTATTGCACATAACTTTTTGGGTTTAGATTTTAATGCTTCTCACATATTAAACCCGTTGGAAACTCCCAAATAGCTATATGTATCAATGATCCATATAAATGATGTAACGACATCCATGAGACGCATCTCTAAATTTTCGCCAGCTGCTAAACTCATCAGAAATCTAAATGTTATTGCATCCATAACAGAGGAATATGTTTCCTCATAATCAATCTCGGGTCTTTGAGAAAATCCTTACAAGTGTACATTGACATTCTCCTCGTCTAAAATAGTATCATATACTTTGGGATACAATAAGATTGTAGACATTGAGAGGAATCTCATAACTAAGTGTGGCAGTCCAGCAGAGAAGATCAGAAAGCAATATAGTTTTTTGAGAGATAAGTTTGATAAGTATTAGGATGGCTTGACCAACATGAATCCTCTACTGATTATTGCTAGTGTCTTTGATCCAAGGAACAAGATGAAGTTTGCTACCCTTTGCTTTGACCTGCTTTATGGTAATGATTCTATTTGTACATCAATCCACATACACCAAAAGAGTGTTAAAACGCTTTAATATGGATAAGGCAAGTCCTTTGAGTACTCCAATGGTCGTTAGATCCCTTAATGTTGAAAGTGATCCATTCCGACTACCTGAGGAGAATGAAGAGATACTTGGTTCTCTGAGTACTAGGTTGTGCAATGAGGTACCGTATCTAAGTGAAATTAGAGCCTTTATGTATCTTGCAAATTGCACTCGACCTGATATTTCATTTTCTGTTAATCTTTTTAGTAGATTTAGTTCGTCTTCTATACGAAGACAATAGAATGGGATTAAACATGTCTTTCGTTATCTTCAATAGTTCGTCTTCTATACGAAGACAATGGAATGGGATTAAACATGTCTTGCGTTATCTTCAAGGGACTATTGATTTAGGGTTATTTTATTTTAAAAATATAAATGGTCAAATGATTGGTTTTGCAGATGCAGAATATTTATCAGACCAACACAAAGCTCGATCACAAACAGGTGATGTGGTCACGATTGGAGGTACCGCTATATCATGACGTTCTCGGAAGCAGAAGCTTGTGGCTTCTTCTTCAAATCATGCTGAAATCATGGCACTCCATGAAGCGAGTAAAGAATGCGTATGGTTACGATCAATAAGTAGACACATTCAAACAGGTAGTGGAATTCTTCTGAATGTCGAGCCAAGTATCTTAGAGCATCTCCAACCCACCTCTATATTTGCCTCTAAACTCTATTTTAGAGGCAAATTTGCTCCAACCCACCTCTATTCTCACCTCTAAAATAGATATCTCTATTTTTTTCTCTATATATAGAGGTGAGAATAGAGAATCTCTATTTTTTCCTCTATAAATAGAGTTAAACTTTTTAGAGGAAAAAATAGAGGAACACATTGGAGTAAAAATAGAGAAAACTTACCTCTATTATAGAGATAGAGCTAAAAATAGGGAAATACATTGGAGATGGTCTTATATGAAGATAATGCTGCATATGTTGCTCAGACAAAGGAAGAATATATCAAAAGCGATATAACTAAACATATTCCTCCAAAGTTTTGTTCATATACCCAAGAACTCGTGAAGAATAAAGACATTGATGTAAGATATGTTTGATCATCCAAAAATTCTGCAGATCTCTTCACAAAATTATTACCCACCTCTATATTCAAAAAACATGTCCATAATATTGAAATGCGTCCGTCGTCAACAAGACTTGTAAGTTATGATCCTGATCATTCGAGTGGGAGGTTGCGCGGTTGCACTCTTTTTACCTACTATTGTTTTTCTCACCGCGATTGCCTAGAAAGGTATTTAACGAGTCAACAAAAGATATTACGCAAGAGATATGGTGACATTGGTCTCCAAGGGGGAGTGTTGTAAAAGTCAGAAAAGAAGAAAAACAATAACGTCAACAATATACGCACACATGTATTAAATGTTATGTAAATGTGAAACCCATCACTATGCGAGCACATTAAATTTATCATTTTACCTCTATATAAAGAATGTTTAACCGTTCATTATAAGATACATTCATTCGCATAACATCTCTCTTTTATCTCTTTATTATTCAGTATTCCAATTATTTTAAATATAAAATTTCTCTATTATTTATATTTATATACACCATAAAATAAAATAATTATTTATAACAAATATCATTATATTACCGATCGGATTCCATATGTTTATAATATTTTATTATTTATTTTTTTACTGTACCAAACTTGACTTACTTGACACTCCTCCATCAAACAAAAATAATTGATCACTACGGTATTCAAGTAATTATGTTATGGTATTCCAACTCCACACTACTTTTTTTTTTTTTTTTTTTGGCAAAACTAATGTCACCACACTAATCTGCTACTTAAAGCATTTTTCAGAACCAACACACAGCGAATAACATTAAGCCACGTAATCAAATATCCCGATACTACAGTTACATCATTAACGGTTTCTCTACTTCGGCGCGTACGAGAAAACACCACTTCACGCGCCTCAATCATTATGTCTGTTTTCACGTTTAAACGACACTTAAGTGCCCACTGGCCACTTCCATTCACACTCATTACTCTTCTGATCTGTGTCCTCCCTTTTAAAACCTAATCCTCTGTGAAACTTTTCCAGTTAAAAACATCTTTCTTGCAAAATGTCTAAAGCAGTTTTATTGGTGGTTCTCTGCTTTTTACCGGTTCTAGCCATCGCGGCTAGACCGAACAAGAACCCGTTCGTCGTGCGAGGCCGTGTCTACTGCGACACATGCCTCGCTGGTTTCGAAACTCCAGCCTCTACTTATATCCATGGTACGTCCATAAACATCCAAGATCTAGTTTCTTCTTGATTTTCGCGGTATCGAATCGGATTTACAAATTCAGTTATGGATCTTTATCGGTTTACATTTTTGCCAATTATTAGTTTCAGATCGTTGTTATGGAATGTAGATCAGTTTTTGAACTTGTGGATCTGTAGAATTATGAATATATCTTCATTCTTGAGAATCTGATCTACATTTTCGGGTTTCGTACTAACATAGATTTGAGATCTTTAATGTGATTGATTATACTATTATGAATATATAGGTGCGGTGGTTAGATTGGAATGCAAAGACAGGAGGACAATGGAGTTAACGTATAGCCACGAGGCGAGAACTGACTCGACAGGATCATACAAGATTTTGGTTAACGAGGATCACGACGATCAGTTTTGTGATGCAATGTTGGTTCGTAGCTCTCAGTTACGGTGTTCCACTGTCTCCCCTGGCCATGACCGTGCCCGTGTGACTCTCACTCGTTTTAACGGTATTGCTTCAGATGACCGTTTTGCTAACAACATGGGATTTCTGAGGGATGCTGCTATGCCGGGTTGTGCGGATATCATGAAGCTATACCAAGAAACCGAGGATTAGTTTCGGTGTTTTGTTAAGTATGTTGTATCAGGGTTTACTGCGACCTGTGGTATTAAAATGTAACTGGAGCTTGTGTGTTCGTGCATTTTATTGCACTTCTCTGTCTTGGTTTTATTACTAATCGAAAAAATACATATTGAATCTCATCGCGGTGGAGAACAGGATACGAAAACATACAATGATTGCAGCTAGAATCTCAGAAGGAAGTGCAATTAGATTTTTTTTTCATGTGTGCTTGAAGTTCAATACTCATCATGGGACAGATCCCTTTCTCTGAGGTTGATGCTCATCCTCAGAAACATCCTGAGAGCTAGGGTGAGCACTGTTAGAGGCGGTACCATCAGAGACCGATAAGATGCTGAGTGAGTCTAGAGAAGCGGAAGCCACGTTCTCCATCTCAGTCAGTCTTTTCTTGTCATCTTCTTTCATCCTCTCTGAATGCTTGTTTATGTTGAAACCCGAGTCATCGTTACCACCAAACGCTGACTCCATTTTCTCCATATCAAAGTTCTCCTCCATTATCTGCTTAGTGTTTGGGTCATCTGAGTACACAAACTTCACTTTGTTCCGTGTCTTCGGCTCTAAGAAAGGCCTCGCCACCTATAAAACAACAGTCACACCCACTACGCTTTAGCCTACATAACATTACTGAAACTGAGATCCTACAAACTTTACCTTCCAGAAAGGTTCAAAGAACTTGGGAGGATTGTAGAGAACGGCAAAAGCTAATCGCTCAGGGTAATGTTCTTGTAATACATGAGCGGTTTCTCTCGTAGTTCTTAAAGATATATTCGCCAAGCTATAGCCGTGAAAATCTATCATCCACACCATCTGTTCTTCCCCTGATGGCAAATTTTGAACTGCATTCTCCATACAATACACAAGATATCTAATCTGGCCTTGCACCGACTTAGAATTCTGAAATTTTTTGAGTGAGACTAAATATGAGATCAAAGTAGACCAGAGCCAAAGAAAACTCTCTGCATTGCATCACAATTGATACTGAACAAACCTCAACACTCGGTCTCATGATAAGAACAGGTCGTCCAAGTTTATCGACGCAACTTGACCTATATATCTTCCCTGTCTCTGCTTCACCAGCTATTTCCTCCTACACAAAGAAACAAACACATTGGTCAAACATATCAACAAGAACACAACAATGTTACTTCATAATTCAAGATTTACCCAACAAATCTCCTCAGGTTTGTATTGAACTCTCCATTTCAAAGTTTCTTTAAGCATCTTAGTAGCTTTCTTGACATGCCAATTCCTCGCCCTTAGATACCTCAAAACCGCATCATCGGAACAAAAACTCGAAAGTTTCTCCGGTAATGGCCCTAGCAGCTTCCTCACTTCCTCAATCTTAAGTCAAATTAATAACAAAACACACAAAAGTATCACAAATCTGATTTAAACCCAACTCCAAAACAATGACCAAAGTTAAAGTTACCTTTGCTTGTTCTTCTTCAGTAGGAACAGGTTTAACAAACCCATTAGTCACTGAATTAGGGTTCATAACTTCTTTAAACCCTACAAAAATGTAATTTGGCAAATTTTAACATTAATATTAAAAACCCAAGTCAATTATTACAGAGACAAGACTGTTGACTAATTGATTAAGAATCTAATCATTGAGCTAAGACAAATCAGTGGTTGTGTAATGTCGATCTTAATCTCACAGAGACCACAATCGTTTATCACGGAATCAAGATCATTAAACAGAAATGTTTGGTCGGGAGGATCTTTGTCTGAAAACCAAGAAAATACAGACTCAAAAAAAAAAAAATCTAAAGGAAATGACAATTAAATCACAAAGCTGGACATTGAATAAGAATATGAAGATTAAGAACTTACCTTTTGGGAATCAAAGCAAAGAGAAGAGCTTAGAAACGTAGGAGTTTTGAGGTCAAACAAACAAAAAAAATGGTCTCTATGAAAAGCTAGAGAAATGACGAAATGTGTTGGACTATTTTATAAATAAATGATATTATTTTGTGATTGAGATCTGATCTAATGGGTAGGTGAGACAAAATGGAGTATTAAACTATTTTGCTATTTTATTACCAATTTTTTGTGTAAAAATTTGAAGGTAATTGTTAGGTCTGTCAATATGAACCAAAGCTTTTGATTCCTACCCCGACTACTCTGTCGCGAGCCGGGTGAGGGTCAAGAGCGGGTATAGCGAGACATGGTTTCGTAATGAGAGTTTTTGGAAGTGAAATCCTCCGGTTTACGGGTTATCTGCGGAATTTTGAAAATTTAAAAATAAATAATTATATATATAGCATTGAATTACTGATGAAAGTTTGCTACTAAAACGAAATTATGTATCGGTTTGGGTTTATTAGAAAGGGTTAGGATTTAGATTTTATGACTAAACGAAGTTAAATATCGGTTTGGGTTTAGAAAAAACGATTAGGGTTTAGATTTTTTACGATTAAACGAGTTTAAAATGTCGGTTTGAGTTTACGAAAGAGAATTAGAGTTTAGATTTTGTAATTAAACGAGATTATATATCGGTTTGGGTTTATAAATGAGTGGTTAGGGATTAGATTTATGTAGTTATAAGCGGTTTTAGGGAGGTATATTGAAATAAGTATTTTAGAAGATTTTATGGAGTTTACAATATTTTAGATTTTGGTAGATTTGAGTGAGTGTTTAGGATATTTCATGGAATTGTTATATATATATTTTTTTTGAAAATAGGAAAATTATTTAGTTTTTGATTTGATGAGATTTAAAGGAAAAAACTCAGGGTGATTTTGTGTCATATAATAAAAGGAAAATTGGGTTTAACAGTTCTAGCCGTTTCTCACCCGAAACAGTAATGATACAGAGAAACTACAATTTCTCTATGAAACACAAATCGAACGATAGATTGAACCAATGTTCATGAAACAAAGATTCACTTCTCAAATTGCTAGAGCATAGAAGAAGAAACAGCTCAAGCTACAATGAAGAAATAACCATGAGAACTCACAGAGAATTCTCAGAACAGATGAAGAAGAAGAAGATCACAAATTTGACACAAATCTCATGAATGATATTTTTTCCTCTTCGCTTCCTTTTAACTCTTCTTTTCTCTTCTTTTAGCATCCAAACGATCTCAGCCCTTGAATCCAGTTTCTAATCTCCACCTTACACGTGTCCATCATTCCTTTCTCTTTTACTATATCAAATCCTCCCTCCCCAAACAACCATGCCCACATGGTTGAATAGAAAGATATTGCTGCAACAAATCATACAAAAGCTCCCAAGTAGTCTCAGCTTCATCCATATTTGATCACTTAACCAGAACCGGAACTTCATTGTAACGGCAGCTTGAAAGAGAAATTCCTGAAAACTGAACCTCCAGGATCCCAAACTCGATTGTTAAAACTCTGCAAATATCGAGCCTTCCAACGATGCCACACATGGTAACTTGCATATCCAAAGTGTGTCCGAGTACACCAAGTTGCTGCGGCAAGTAGTAGAAAATAAAGGCCGGGATCTCTTTGTATTGTCACCCTAACTGTAAGATGAAACCACTCTTCCCATACAGCCCTGCCTTTGCACTGAAACATCCAAGAATTGAAAGACTTATTTTGTGTATTTCTCAGCCAATCCGTCTCACGATCACACAAAGTAGCAAAATATATATCTAGATTGTGTAGACTCTTGATCCCTTGTTTCTGATTTTTGTATTTAAACATCCAAGATTTTGACGCCTTCCTTTTCTTCATGTTTTGGCTGTCTTGGTGCAGAGACATTTTATCTAACAATTGAAATGCATAACTTTTATTTGTGATTGTTGGCAATTCCCTAAACTTCTCAGCAGTTCCTGCAACTCCAGTGATGTTGATGAGAAAGAAAGGCAACATCATCTTGGTGTGAATCAACTCCAGTTTCGTTTGCAGAACAACGTGAGTCAAATTCTCTGCACAATCTTTCAGTTCCAGCTGCTGGATCAATTCTGCAACACTGGCTAAACTATCATTTCCTTTCGACAACAACAGATCACTAGATTCCAGACTAGGTTCCATAACTGAATCTGTGGGATGAATATCGGCTTGTTCTTGACTCAATTGATTCTGTTCAATCCAAGAATCTGTTTCACTATCGTCCATGTTGAATCCAAACACTTTCCCATTATCCAAAACTTGTTCATCATCACAAGACTTAGCAACATCAATTTCTACCAAATCTTTCTTCACCTTCTCAACCGCATTCATTACCAAGTCTGAATCACTAGGGAATCGATCTTCATCATAATCTGTTTCACCAGTCTCTAACTTACAGCCAATTGAATGGGACTGCCACATATCACTCGATATCTCAACCTCAATATCTTCTAATTCCATAGCATTAGAGAGATGATCTTCACTATCAATCATGAGAATACCTGAGTTCTTGTGTTGTAGATAATGATAGGGAGTTTCTGGCTCTTCGCAAAACACACATAACCTCTTCAACCTTCTCTCGTCAATCTCTTCACACGAGACTCTCCGCCGAAGCTTGTATCTGCGATTAGAAAACGGTGATGAAGCGTTAGGTGCATCTGGAGTAACGTTGACCACATAGTTTGGTTTAGGCTCAGGACGATTGAGATCCGGTGACTCTGAAAGTTGCGGCGAGGCTGGTTGAGTATCGACTTGTAGATTCTCCTCCTCCTTGCTCCTTGATCGCAACAACAAGAGCAGAGCACCAATTCGTTTGTCGAGCGTCGCATTCTGGTTCGCGATCGTCTCTTTCAATTTTTCTATTCCCGATCCCAAAGTTTCGTCAACTTCATGAACCGTAGCTTTTGTAAGCAAGGTTTTAGATCTCTTGTCTGCCATGGATGCCGAGAATCGATAGGGCTCTGATACCTTTGATACAGAGAAACTACATTAATACAGAAAACTTCACCAATTCAACAAGAACAAAGTGACAAACTAAATCAACACTTCAATTCCAAAGTTAACCAAAACAACGTTCATGAAACGCAGCTTCGATCATCATCTAGGTCTCTAGATGAGAACCTAACAAAAGAAAGAGATTCAAAGAAGAAGATAACAAACGTTTACAATTTTCATGAATGATATTTTTT